CTTCATCCAAGTTAACCTTATTCTTTCACCCTCCACAAATCCAACGACCGCCCCCCTCTCCTCCGCCCCCTCACCCCCGCCCCCACCCCTCACCCACCCCCACCCCTCATCCCACCCCACCCTCACCCCAAAGCCCCCTCCACCTCACCCCCGCCCCCCCTCACCCCCTGCCCCCTCTCACTCCCGCCCTCAACCCCTAACGCTCACTCCACATCCAGCTGGTGATTGCACCAGCCAAGGTCTCTGAAACACAAGCGGTTTGTCCCTGTCATAAGTTCCTCGTCAGGGCGGAGGTTGGAAGGCGGTGGGGAAGGGGGGAGGGGATGGGGGTAAGGGAGGCGGTGGGGGAGGGGAAGGCGGTGGGGGAGGGGGAGGGGGAGGGCGAGGAGGGGGAGGGGATGAGGTGGGGGGAGGGGGGGGGAGGGAGGTGGGAAGGGGAGGGGGTGGGGGAGGGGAGGCGGTGGGGAGGGGGGAGACGGGGTGGGGGGGGGGAGGGGGGAGGGGGTGGGGGCGAGGAGGGGGAGGGAGGGAGGGGGGGAGGGGGGAGGAGGAGGGGGAGGGGATGGGGAGGTAGGTGGGGAAGAAGGGGGAGGGGGGAGGGAGGGGGAGACGGGCGGTAATAACAATAACAACAATAAGAAAGACAAACAGACCTGATGATGATAGTCGTGTTGATGATGATAATGGCGGTGGTGTTAATGATGGTGATGATGGTAATGATAATGATGATGATGGTGGTGGTGATGATTTTTTTTTATATGATGCTGGTGATGATGGATGATGATGATTGATTGATTGTTGATGATGGTGATGATGATGATGTTATTTTTGTTTTTGTTGTTGTTAATGATGATGCCGTTCTTGTTGCTCTTGCTAATATTGATGTTTCTACTGGACACGTGGCTTGTTAATGGGAAATGAAAATTTTCATTTTTCATTATTTTCGTCTTTCCTTTTCTTAATTTATCTTTTTTCTCTGTTTTACAGAAGTCGGAATCTACTTTTCTTCATTATCATTATCATTATTTTCTTTTCTCTTTTCTTAATTTACCTTTCTTCTGAATCTGCCTTTTTTCATTTTCATTTTCATTATTTTCGTCTTTCTTTTCTTAAATTATCTTTCTCCTCTGTTTTATAGAATTCTGAATCTTTTTTCATTATCATTTTCTCCTTTCTTAATTTACCTTTCTTTTCTGTTTTACAGAATTCGGAAATCTTTTTCATTATCATTTTAAATTTTTTTTTTCTCTCTCTCTCTCTTTTTCTTAATTTATCGTTCTTCTCTGTTTTATAAGAATTCTGAATCTGCCTTTTTTCATTTTCATTCTCATTACTTTTTTCTCTTTTCTTAATTCTTTCTCTATTCCTTTTTACATTCTCATTCTTCTTTTCTCTTTTTTCTTAATTTATCTTTCTGAATCTGCCTTTTTCATTTTCATTCTCATTATTTTCGTCTTTCCTTTTCTTGAATTTTCTCTCTTCTCTTTGTTTTATAGAAGTCGGAATCTTTTTTCATTATCATTTTCATTATTTGTTTTCTCTTTTCTTAATTTATCTTTTTCTCTGTTTTATAGAATTCTGAATCTGTCTTTTTTCATTATCATTATCATTATTCCTCGTTTCTCTTTTCATAATTTACCTTTCTTCTCTGTTTTATAGAATTCTGAATCTGCCTTTTTTTCATTATCATTATCATTATTCTCGTTTCTCTTTTCCTAATTTACCTTTCTTCTTTGTTTTATAGAATTCTGAATCTGCCTTTTTTCATTATCATTATCATTATTCTCGTTTCTCTTTTCCTAATTTATCTTTCTTTCCGAATCTGCCTTTTTTTCATTTCATTCTCATCATTTTCGTCTTTCCTTTCTTGATTTATCTCTCTTCTCTGTTTTATAGAGAATCTGCAGTCCAAATACCGCGATGTTTGCCAAGGCCGAAAAAAAAACAGAACATCGCTTGCTGTTGCTCTTTTGTTTCCCGATCTCATGACGTCATAAAGAAGAGAACTTTACGTACCTGTTATCGCCAAAAACGCTGTAGTTTAATGGTGCATTAGAGATGTTTACAACCGTCCGATAAATTCCGGATTTATATTTACTAATCCCCTGAGAGAATCCCCGCTATTCTTTAAAATGAAGTGTCCCATCGTAACAGCTGGCCGCGCGGATGGTATACAGCGACATCTATTAAGGTCGTAAAAAACTGATTTGTGCGCTTCTGTGACTTTAATTCCCAGATCAGAGATGGTGATCGGGTTTATCATTTTCCTTTGTCATTAGTCGGTCCGTGTGCGCTGTTTGTTTTTTATTATCTTGTTTTATTTCTTTTTAGGTATAATGATATTATGGGTGTTTTCGAATGCCATTAGGTAGATACGATAACATTTTCGGTGTTTTCTGAGTACAGTCTATACAAAATACACAGCTACGAACACATATACGTACTTCTCTCTTTCGTTCTTCCTCTACTTACCTTTTTTTATCTTTTTAGGTATAATGAT